GGTGAGTGATGTACTCGCCATTGATGTTAATACCGTATCCTTTCCAGTCCAGAAGTTTGAAAACGTCTTCCAATGCAGCGGTGAAGAGTTTCGGGGATATAACATCACCCTGTCTGAATACTTTTTAATTCGAGGTGAAAAATAAAACTTCTTGATGCAGATATTATCGCCGTGTACTTTCAATTGACAAAAAAAAATTGGCGGTGGTTACAACTTAAAAACAACAAAGAAAAAAGAAATAAGTAAAACGTATGTAACGCAACTTCGTGCGTAACAAAAACCACAGACGTTTTCGTAGACATGCCCCCAGGCGTTGAAAGCTTGTCTTTCAACAAAATTAGCCTTCCTTGTTGTTAGGTAAAGGGCAGATTTTGCAGAAAGGTCTTCGGACGATTCCGGTGGCAGTTCTGATATCGGCAACGCGGTTGATGCCGTCGGCTCCGGGATGAAAGGCTGTAATTCGACCCAGTCGCCATTTGAGCGGCGGTAAATTGTCTTCCTTCAGAACTACAAGATCACCCGTCCCTAAAGTGTCAGCATTGGAACGCCATTTTGATCTCTGCTGGAGTTCTGAGAGATATTCCTTGCTCCATCTTCTCCAAAAAAGTTGACGAAGTTGTTGGATGCGTTCGTATCGACTCAGTCTACTGCTAGGGACTTCTTCATAATTTTGAGAAGGAAGAGAGGTGATGGGGCGGCCGATGAGGAAATGTCCCGGGATTAATGGCAGTAAGTCATCAGGATCCGTGGAGAGAGGTGTCAGCGGACGAGAGTTCAGTACACCTTCAATTTGAACCAGCACAGTGTTTAATTCCTCGTATGTAAGGTTACAATTACCTAATATTCTCCGTAAATGATATTTTATTGACTTAACGCCTGCTTCCCAAAGACCGCCAAAGTGAGGGGCTTGCGGAGGAATGAAATGGAAATTTATATTTTCCTGAGCCAAATTCTCGGACAGTGAATTGCAATTGTCTTTTATAAAACGACCGATTTCGTTGTATGCGCCTACGAATGAAGTTCCGTTGTCGGAGTATATGTGTTTAGGTTTTCCGCGACGTGAAATGAATCGACGAAGTGCTGATAAGTAATTATTACTTGTTAGATCGCCTGTTAACTCCACGTGTACAGCCTTTGTCGCAAAACAAACGAAGATGAGAATATACACTTTCGTAAGCTTGCAACCACGGCCTTGACGACTGGCGGACATAATAGGTCCAGCATAATCGACGTCAACGCTCTCGAAGGGAAAACCGCCGGGAGTCACTCGACCCTGAGGCAGATTGCCCATAAGTGGATTTATAACCCTTCCCTTATAACGACAACATAAGTAACATTGTCGATAACAATATTTAGCTAACTTGAGGCCTCCGATGGGCCAATACATTTCTCTAATTGAAGCTAATAGTAAACGAGGACCGGCGTGTAAAAGCTTGACATGCATATACTTAAACAATAATTTGGTAAAACGATTAGTGGACTGTAACATAATCGGATGTTTCTTTTCATAAGTAAATAATGCATTTCCTAAACGACCACCGACACGCATTATTTTATTTTCGTCTAGGAAAGGATTAAATTTCAAAATAGTACATTTTGAAGGCAATTTTTTGTTATTATATAAGGTCACATATTCCTCGAATGACTCAATTTGTGACAATCTAATTAAAGTATTTAAAGAATTATGTAGATCGTCGTTACTTAAAAATTTACCTTGTACCGGTTTCTTTTTACAAATATTAATAAATCTTAACACGTAGGCCATAGAACGTTGTAATCTTATAAAATTAGAGAATCTCTCAAAGTCAATTAAAGGTTTTTTCTGATCGGTAACAACTAAAGAAATCTCTGAGCGAGTTTCTGGTAGCTTATCACTTACAATAGGGTTAGCAGGCCAATTAGACATGTCACCCTTTAAAAACTGTGGACCAGACCACCATAAGTCAAGATTGTGAATTTGATTTATGTTCGTACCGCGGGAAACATAGTCTGCCGGATTGAGATCAGTGGGAACATGTCGCCAAGTAAATGAACATGTTTTTTCCAAAATTTCGGCAACTCGATTACGAACAAAAGGTTGTAATTTGTTAGGTAGCATTTTTAACCAACCTAAAACGATTGTCGAATCTGACCAAAAAATTACTGATCTTACTTGGATTCGAAGCCAACTTATCACCTTCTCATAGAGACGGACACCGACAAGTGCAGCGCAGAGCTCAAGCCGTGGTATTGTAGTCGGCCTTATGGGAGCTACGCGACTTTTGGCTGAAAGTAAACGCACCATCATATTATTTTTATTATTAGAACTACGGACATACAGACATGCTCCGTAAGCCACTTGAGATGCGTCACTAAAAATATGTAAGTCTACATTAATATATTGATTGCAGATAACACTGCGTGGAATTCTTAAATTGTTTTATAACGCGGATATTTGCGAAGTAAATTTTTGTAAAAGCTTTTATATTGGTGCTGATGTTTTTTGGGACCTATTAGGGGTACGTAAAATTAGTTTAGGAAATGGAAAGCCGGTACTCATTGAATCTAGGTTAGGATGGCTAGTCTCAGGCCCCTTAATTAATAATGGCTAAGTACCGTATTCGATTTCTAACACTAAGTCGTTTTTAGTAAAACTAAATTTGAGGGAAAACGTCTCTTCGCACAATGATAATAACGATGATATTCAAAACCTATTGACGCGTTTTTGGCACCTAGAGGAGGATTGCCATGATACATCAGTTCTCTCCGCGGAGGAGAAAATGTGCGAAGAACATTTTATTAAAAATACAACTCATCTACAAGACGGTCGTTTCTGTGTGAGAATACCACTGAAACAATCACGTGATATTTTAGGCGGTTCCCTACAACGCGCCAAGCTTTGCCTCCTTTCTCTTGAGCGTAGGTTTAAGGGTCAACCCAAATTTAAAAATAATTATACTCAATTCATGTCAGAGTATCTAACACTAGGACACATGTTTGAATGTTCATTTGATCCACGGAGGTTAGCATATTTTATACCACACCATGGAGTGATTCGCGAAAGCAGCTTAACGACTAAGCTCAGAGTTGTTTTCAATGCGAGCAGTCCGACTACTTCCGGTATTTCATATAATAATTTGCAATTAGTGGGGCCCACTGTACAGGATGATCTGCTATCTATACTACTTAGATTCCGACAACATAAGTACGTGCTATCAGCAGACGTAGAAAAGATGTATAGACAGATCGTCGTACATCCTGATGACAGACCTCTCCAACAAATAGTTTGGAGAAATGATCCATCCGAGCCCATGAAAGCGTACCAGTTAAACACCGTTACGTATGGCACAGCCAGCGCACCCTATCTCGCCACCAGATGTCTTAAGCAGATTGGTATGGATTGCAAGGACGATAAAAATCTCCGAAATAATAATCCATGACTTCTACGTCGATGACCTATTAACTGGAGGGGACAGCATTCAAGATGCGCTGGACATACATAACAAGGTGTCTTCTGAACTGGCCACAGCTGGTATGAACCTCCGTAAGTGGAAATCAAATGAACCTCGAGTAATACTAAATAATACAATTCATCTCTCGACTTAAATATTGGTTCTACGGAATCCTGTAAAACATTAGGTCTCAGCTGGCAAATCGAGTCTGATGAACTGTATTTTTCGACGAGTGAAATCGTTTTAAATAATTTTACAAAACGTGGATTACTCTCGGTTATTTCACAAATCTTTGATCCACTGGGTCTTCTGACCCCATGCATAATTTCTATGAAAATTTTAATGCAAAAATTATGGTTACTTAAACTTACATGGGACGAACAGTTGCCTTTGGAAATAATTAAATTATGGCTTTCAATTGTAGAAAACTTATCATTTTTAAACAATTTAAGAATTCCACGCAGTGTTATCTGCAATCAATATATTAATGTAGACTTACATATTTTTAGTGACGCATCTCAAGTGGCTTACGGAGCATGTCTGTATGTCCGTAGTTCTAATAATAAAAATAATATGATGGTGCGTTTACTTTCAGCCAAAAGTCGCGTAGCTCCCATAAGGCCGACTACAATACCACGGCTTGAGCTCTGCGCTGCACTTGTCGGTGTCCGTCTCTATGAGAAGGTGATAAGTTGGCTTCGAATCCAAGTAAGATCAGTAATTTTTTGGTCAGATTCGACAATCGTTTTAGGTTGGTTAAAAATGCTACCTAACAAATTACAACCTTTTGTTCGTAATCGAGTTGCCGAAATTTTGGAAAAAACATGTTCATTTACTTGGCGACATGTTCCCACTGATCTCAATCCGGCAGACTATGTTTCCCGCGGTACGAACATAAATCAAATTCACAATCTTGACTTATGGTGGTCTGGTCCACAGTTTTTAAAGGGTGACATGTCTAATTGGCCTGCTAACCCTATTGTAAGTGATAAGCTACCAGAAACTCGCTCAGAGATTTCTTTAGTTGTTACCGATCAGAAAAAACCTTTAATTGACTTTGAGAGATTCTCTAATTTTATAAGATTACAACGTTCTATGGCCTACGTGTTAAGATTTATTAATATTTGTAAAAAGAAACCGGTACAAGGTAAATTTTTAAGTAACGACGATCTACATAATTCTTTAAATACTTTAATTAGATTGTCACAAATTGAGTCATTCGAGGAATATGTGACCTTATATAATAACAAAAAATTGCCTTCAAAATGTACTATTTTGAAATTTAATCCTTTCCTAGACGAAAATAAAATAATGCGTGTCGGTGGTCGTTTAGGAAATGCATTATTTACTTATGAAAAGAAACATCCGATTATGTTACAGTCCACTAATCGTTTTACCAAATTATTGTTTAAGTATATGCATGTCAAGCTTTTACACGCCGGTCCTCGTTTACTATTAGCTTCAATTAGAGAAATGTATTGGCCCATCGGAGGCCTCAAGTTAGCTAAATATTGTTATCGACAATGTTACTTATGTTGTCGTTATAAGGGAAGGGTTATAAATCCACTTATGGGCAATCTGCCTCAGGGTCGAGTGACTCCCGGCGGTTTTCCCTTCGAGAGCGTTGACGTCGATTATGCTGGACCTATTATGTCCGCCAGTCGTCAAGGCCGTGGTTGCAAGCTTACGAAAGTGTATATTCTCATCTTCGTTTGTTTTGCGACAAAGGCTGTACACGTGGAGTTAACAGGCGATCTAACAAGTAATAATTACTTATCAGCACTTCGTCGATTCATTTCACGTCGCGGAAAACCTAAACACATATACTCCGACAACGGAACTTCATTCGTAGGCGCATACAACGAAATCGGTCGTTTTATAAAAGACAATTGCAATTCACTGTCCGAGAATTTGGCTCAGGAAAATATAAATTTCCATTTCATTCCTCCGCAAGCCCCTCACTTTGGCGGTCTTTGGGAAGCAGGCGTTAAGTCAATAAAATATCATTTACGGAGAATATTAGGTAATTGTAACCTTACATACGAGGAATTAAACACTGTGCTGGTTCAAATTGAAGGTGTACTGAACTCTCGTCCGCTGACACCTCTCTCCACGGATCCTGATGACTTACTGCCATTAATCCCGGGACATTTCCTCATCGGCCGCCCCATCACCTCTCTTCCTTCTCAAAATTATGAAGAAGTCCCTAGCAGTAGACTGAGTCGATACGAACGCATCCAACAACTTCGTCAACTTTTTTGGAGAAGATGGAGCAAGGAATATCTCTCAGAACTCCAGCAGAGATCAAAATGGCGTTCCAATGCTGACAATTTAGGGACGGGTGATCTTGTAGTTCTGAAGGAAGACAATTTACCGCCGCTCAAATGGCGACTGGGTCGAATTACAGCCTTTCATCCCGGAGCCGACGGCATCAACCGCGTTGCCGATATCAGAACTGCCACCGGAATCGTCCGAAGACCTTTCTGCAAAATCTGCCCTTTACCTAACAACAAGGAAGGCTAATTTTGTTGAAAGACAAGCTTTCAACGCCTGGGGGCATGTCTACGAAAACGTCTGTGGTTTTTGTTACGCACGAAGTTGCGTTACATACGTTTTACTTATTTCTTTTTTCTTTGTTGTTTTTAAGTTGTAACCACCGCCAATTTTTTTTTGTCAATTGAAAGTACACGGCGATAATATCTGCATCAAGAAGTTTTATTTTTCACCTCGAATTAAAAAGTATTCAGACAGGGTGATGTTATATCCCCGAAACTCTTCACCGCTGCATTGGAAGACGTTTTCAAACTTCTGGACTGGAAAGGATACGGTATTAACATCAATGGCGAGTACATCACTCACCTTCGATTTGCTGACGATATAGTCCTTATGGCAGAATCGCTGGAGGACCTAAGCACTATGCTCAATGACTTCAATAGTGTCTCCCAACGGATAGGTCTTAAGATGAACATGGACCAAACAAAGATTATGTTTAATGTCCATGTCACACCTATGCCGGTAGTTGTTGGGAGCACTAAACTCGAAGTTGTTGACGAGTATGTTTACCTAGAACAAATAGTCCGACTAGGTAAGTCCAACTTCGACCGAGAGGTCAATCGACGGATTCAACTCGGCTGGGCAGCGTTCGGGAAGCTACGACACATCTTCTCGTCAGACATACCTCAAAAGCTTAAAACGAAATTGTACAACCAGTGCGTGTTGCCAGTGATGACTTACGGAACTGAGACGTGGTCCTTCACTGCTGGCCGTATGAGGAAGCTCAAGGACGCTCAGCGAGCTATGGAGAGGGCTATGCTCGGAGTTTCTCTGCGTGATAAACTTAGAAATGAGTATATCTGCAGTAGAACCAGAGTAACCGACATAGCCCAACGGATTAGTAAGCTGAAGCGGCAGTGGGCCGGCCATATAGCTCGAAAAACCGACAACCGATGGGGAAGAAAGGTTCTCGAGTGGCAGCCTCGTACCGGTAGGTGAAGTGTAGGGCGACCCCCCACGAGATGGAGTGACGACCTGGTAAGGCATGCAGGAAGTCGATGGATGCAGGTGGCTCAGGACCGTGATTTGTGGCATTCCTTGGGGGAGGCCTATGTTCAGCAGTGGACTTATGAAAGGCTGTGATGATGATGATGATGATAATGAAATTCATTAAGCTCTGTATATGGACTGGCTATACACCGTGACATAATGAGGCGAATTGATTTTCGCCATTTTGGCGCTGCCTGCAGAAGTGAACATCTGCGTATCTAATAATAGAGATAAGACAATGTAACAATATACGAGTATATCGATAAAAATTCTATACCGAGGCTTACACGTAACGTCCACGCTATTCATGTATCATGTAAATATAGATGCAAGCTTTAAACCTCATATAAAACCAAGATCGACGCTGCGTTGTTGCTCTTTTTACGTTTTTATTCGTAACTACAGAGCGGATTTTGCTCCAGATTTCAAACTTGGGTATGTTGGTTCATTCGCGAGCTTTAAATATTCAATTAGTTCTGGAAAATATTCAACTAGATTAACTTTACAATTTTCTAATAAATATCACATTATACCAAACGAACAGTACGGCTTTCAAAAAAAATAAATCGACAACTTTGGCGATTTTCTCACTCATAAAAGTAGTACTGTCACATATCAATAACAATAATTTTAGCAAAGGACTATTTTTGGACCCACCTAAAATCTTTGACCTAGTTTCACATGACCTATTGTTACAGAAGTTAGAAAAGATTGATATTAGAGGATCTACACTTCTGTGGATTTATCATATATCAAAGGACATATCTCTATATTTGCAAAAATGTGTAATTATTACCAAAGAAGTCACAAGTCCACTGCTGAACACAGGCTTCCCCCAAGGAATATTACAAATTACGGTCCTGACTCCTGAGGAACCTACATCCAACGTCTTTCTACATCTATTCCAGGTCCTTCCAGGTCTTCACTAAATAGTAGTGGGTGCCGCAATACATTTCGCTTACTGGCAGGAATCTACCACTCGAGAACCTTTCTTCATAATATTTATACGTGGTAGAGCCATGCTGCAGCTATATTATGGTTGTAGCTCGAATGTGTCGGCTCGACCGAGGAAGGACCACGCTCTCACAGAATACCAGCGTAAAATAGCAGCTTAACGCTGCTGTGTTTCGTATGGTGAGTGTAGAGAACCGGAGACCCTTTTTACTGGAAACGAGGCATTCCATCTTAGTCCTCATGGGTGACAACGCATCTGCATTTTGATTCTTAATCGAAGATAAATGAAGAGGTCTATGAGCCACAGCAACCACTTACCATCAGGTGGACTGTGCGCTCGTTTGTCATCCTCATCATATAAAAAAAATGTTACGTAATTCCTTTCTTCCAATCATAACATTAAACGAAAAATTTAAGTCACATAATTTAAGAATTTTTATTTTCTAAAGCAAAAGTTTTGAATCAAATTAATTATGTTTTTTTATATTGAATAAGGGTGACAAACGAGCATGCAGTCCACCTGATGGTAAGTGATTGCTGTTGCCCATAGACATCTACATCTATCTTCGTTTGCAAATCAAAATGCAGATGTGTTGTCACCCGTTTGGACTAAGATGGAATGCCTATTTTCCAGTAAAATGGGTCTCAGGTTCTCTACACTCACCATACGAAACACAGCAGCATTAAGCTGCTATTTCACGCCGGTTTTCCGTGAGAGCGTGGTCCTTCCCCGGTCGAGCCGACCTATCCGTGCTACAACTATACTATTAATGTAGCTGCAGCATGGCTCTACCTCGTTTTTAAGACAAAGTCAATTAATCAAATAAAAACTGGCTCCTTTGTAAATATCATAAAAGTTATATAATTATATCATACTTCATAGAAGTTTCTCTTGCTAACGCAATTTCATTAAAAGTTTTAATTAATTTTAGATTCGTAGTTACGATAGAATTTTATATGTGCCGAATTCAGTGAAGAGTCATTAGAGTTTAAGTAAACCAAATAATTATTTGCTCTAATGTAAGCCTATCGGGCTTCTGGTACATTTTCGTTCCGTGAAATATAACTGAAATGTAAAAATAAATAATAATCGAATATAGAAAAGCTTACGAGTAGTTGCATGTCAAAAATAAGAGTTAATTTTACGATTACTTTTTGAAAATGACGGTGAAAAACTGAACTGTTCAAAATATGCCTCATATGGATGGAGCGGTAATTGCTGTAGTAACCATATTTGGCACGCGGGTTGGCAACTGCAGCATCATGTTATTTTATAGATTTTTTAGTACAGACAGAACTTGCATTGGGCGTAGTCTCATTATTGTATTAAAACATAATAGAACCGAAGTAAGGGCCTTAATTTTAGAAATGTAACAATGAAATTTTAAAATGTAATAGTGAAAGTGAATTCGGCAAACCTGCGCATTTGTACGCGATTTGTGAGTTGTACGTAGGATTTTTTATAAATATGACCATAACGCCATTTATAATTATTAAAATATTTTGTATGCTTATTACTGTGTAATGGTATTGTAAAAATATTCACTATCCCATATCATTCCGTGTGTGTCGTTAGAGGCGACAGGAGGAAACAAATCAGGAGATGGGCAGCAGAGTCCTCCTAATAACAACTTAAAATAAAAAAACTGCGGTTGCCAACTCGCTTGCCAAGCGTGGCAAATATGGAAAATATCCCTCTTATGAGGCAATCTGTGGGGGTGGCCTACGGTCATCAATGGACTTTAATAGGCTGTAACGGTAACGGTATGCTTTTTACTATGATTAATTTATTGAAAGGCCGTGTTAGCCATTTTTTAACACAACAACAAAGAATTTGAATGAAGTCTCATTCAAATTCTTGCATATAAATGAAAGCAGACCATTTAACGAAATCTTTTATTTTAACCATTTTCTGATATTTATTCTCCCATATAACTGGCTAGTACCTATTAGAGCCTTGGCTACATCAAAGACAAGTAAATTCAATACTCGTAGCGGTATGGATTTTAAAGCCTTTATTGTGTACGGCATCGTCTCACAAGGCGTTTGAGGAAGCTTAAAGTCGCTCAGCTATAGATATGGCTATGCTTGAAGTTTCTCTTCCTATCAGGATTCGAAATGGTGAAACAAGCAGTAAAATGTGAGTAACCGATATTGACAACTGAAGTAGCAATGGGTTTGCCATAAACCTATGGAGTAGAAAGGTACTCGAGTGTGGTTTCGCCCAGTAAGCGGTACCAGCCAAGTAAGCGGAGTCCACTTGATAGACTGGCGACCTGGTTGGTTAGGAATGCAAGTCTTACAGGACTTATAGGAAAGTGTTTTGTGACGTTAACTGGAGGAGGCCGGTGTTCAGCAGTTGATTTGTGAAGGCTAGTGATAATGATGATGAAGATGAATTTTTATTAATAAAAAATAGGTGTGAAATAATTGGTTATAGTAAATTCATATAAAATATTGTTATTATATTTATATTAAATAAAATTTATATAAAATAAAATTTCTTAATAAGATCTTTCATTAAGCTCATAAATATAATTCGTACCAAAATGTAACATGGTATATTTTTTTTTACTTATCATTCAGTTAAGGGATAATTATTTTTTAATTTTCTGTTGGTATTTTTTTTTAGTTTTCCATCTAAAAAACTTACGAAAACTATGAATATACTACAAATTTAATAGAAACTAAAGCTTTTATACTTGGGCACGAATATATTGCAACATCACAACACGATTCGTGTATATTCGTGCCCAAGTATAAAAGCTTTAGTTTCTATTAAATTTGTAGTATATTCATAGTAGATGGAAAAATAAAAAAAAATACCAACGGAAAATTAAAAAATAATTGTCCCTTAACTGAATGATAAGTAAAAAAAAATAACCATGTTACATTTTGGTACGTATTATATTTATGAGCTTAATGAATCCTATTACTTGATCTTATTAAGAAATTTTATTTATTTAAAGTTATATTATTATGTTATATTATTATAATGTCACAAAACACTTTCCTATAAGTTTTTT